AAATGCTCATGAGGAATTTTTGGGGTCCCGGATTTATCATTTATTATTAGGGTGGATTTTATTAATATGAGGAAGAGATTAGTAGCCCTAAACCCTAAACCCTTAACCCTAAACCACTACATCGCAGCCTCGCTTTCTGGCAAAGCCGGTGGCGGCGGCGTCTGAAGTGATGGCGAAGGAGGCAGGGACCCCTGCTTTTCCAGGCATTGGTCTTGGGTTTAGGGCTTAGGGTTTAGGGTGTATGGTTTAGAGTTTAGGGTTGGGTTTAGGGTACAGGGTTTAGAACTTGGTCTTACGGGTCTTGTGGTTATGGACTATTGTAGGTATAGTAAGGCCCAGTTACCTCCATATTTAGGGGCTATTACTTTAAGGGCATATAGGGGCGATTGACCTAAGATTGAGGGTTTAAGGGTTTCGACTGTAGGCCTCACTGTAGGGCTCAGGGCCCGGGCACTGGCTGTCTTACGCGTGGCTCATGAATACAATATTCAAAGAAAAGCAACAGCAGTAGCAGCTACAGCAGCCCAAAACCCACAACTCTAGACCCTATACGCTGCCCTTAACTCTAAACCCTAAACCATAAACCTCAGCAGTAGCAAGCAAGAGCAAGCAGCAGGGAGTGAGGCACCTGACACAAAATGTTTATAAGGCCTTTTTTCTAACCCCAATGACCTGCAGCATTGTAGTAATCACCCGTAGCCAGGACCTATGAAGCTGTAGGTAATTCGGGGTACGGATAGGGGTTAGGGAAAAAATAAAAGTAGAGCACCAAAACGCGTTTCCATTTTGTTTATAAGAACCTCGAGATTAAAGCATCGCGCTTGTGGCAATACTTTCCAGACGCTTGGGAAGGGAAGAAATCCATAAGTCATGAGAGTCATGAAAACAATGTTGGCAGCTAAGGGCAGCATGCTTTGCTGACTTTTGGGGGGTCCGGGCCCAAATGTCGCCAAAACACATTGCCACATGAGAAGAGCTTTCCCCGCAAGCCTGCGTCATCCTTCCCCCGCAAATGGCCATACCAGCAACTCCCCAGAAATTTCTTAGCGCAAATTGCTTCAACCACTACGACTACGACTAACACTGCATAGTTGTCGTCTGCTCATAGTGGCAGGCGGCGACAAATATGGTGTTAATAAGAATAACAATGGTATACACCACCTGTAGCAGGAGCAGTAGCAGTAGTAGTACTGGCAGTAGGAGTAGTAGTAGCAGTTGTAGTAGCAGAAGAAGTAGCAGTGGAAGTAGCAGCAGAAGCAGTAGTAATCACCAGGTGCCGACTGTCCCTAGTTTTACTCTTTACAGCTCCAGGATTGGGCGCACATGGCAACCGCAAACCAAGCTGGCACAGCCATCGCCTGCGCAGGCACTGCGTGGGGCGAAGGTGGTGAAGGTGATCGAGCAGGTGGCAACGGAGGGCGGGACCCCGCCTCCAAGAGATAACTTCAGGATTGTGCTGGCTAAGATTTGGCTTGGTAGGCTTGTGTCCAGCCGCGAAACCTCATGAGATCCAGCTCATAAGCTTGCATGTAGCATTCTGTAGCTTAGTTTTAGGCGGACTCCAAAGACAGTGCAAAACCATCATGACGTCGTGCAGAGGCCGTATATTCATTACACACTAGCTCGTGAACAGCGGTTTTGCGCTTCGGGTTCAGTGCTTCTGGCCCAAGGACTTTACTCTCCGAAAGAGGCGGGACTCTCAAGCGTGTACGCCAGGTAAGCTGTGTATATCTGCAGGCCTGTCAGTCAGGTTTGGAGCCTTTTAAGTTCAGGATCTAGTCTGGGGATCCAAGTCTGTAGATAATACCAACATTAGGCCCTAAAGTCTATGAATAGTACAGTACTTACTTACTTTGGGGTATTGGATCCCTAGGGCTGGTTTTGGGGAGTCAGGATTTAGCCTCAGTGGACCTCCCGGTGCCTTTCTTGCTACTGGAAAGGAATGCATGCAGAGCAAAGGTCGTCTTGCATCAGAAGCAACTGCCCCTCATCTTCAAAGCTCAACCAGGTAACCAAGCCCTCAATTTCTCAAACTTTCAAACTTTCCAAAGGAGACATGCCCCCTATGCCTTGTAGCCCCGAAGTGCGCCAGCAATCCCTGTTAATATAGGGGCCCCGGACATTATCAACATCACGGTCCTAGATTCTTTGAAGATGATTTTGGCACTGTATTTCTTTAGACTACTACATTACCCAGAACAAGCTGAGCCCTACAGCGAAGCCATAGCTGAAGCCATACAGGCTCTCAAATCCGTATTTGACGGACGTTCCAAGATCAAGGTCTCCGTACAAGAACTACAAGAACAGGACGGGTTTAGGGTTTAGGATTTAGGGTCATCAATTTTAGGGCACATAGAGGGGATCTGTAGTACAAAACCCTTAATTACCCCCTAAACCCTAAACTCTCTAGTACAAAAGCCTTAATTTCCCTGGAGTGCCATATGTCTTTTGTTTTTCCATTCAGGCATTGTCAGCCTTAAGCTAGGCCTGTACTTTCCCAACCTTTAGGGTTCACTTATGGTAGTTTCCTAAAATTCGGGTACCTTTTTGGGGATCCCTATAAGTAGGACTATAGTATATATGCCGGCATGGATGGAACGTGCAATTCATTTTCCCCTGTACTAAATCGCAACCATGTAGGCCAAATTCTGAAGTGCCTTACCCCAAAACCATTACATGGGAATTGCTGAAAGAAATCCTTACAGTCCTACACCATCGTCTATATATGCCCCCTTCTTTGAGAAACTCCATACGGTGCCTGGGTAGTTATTGACCCTGGAAGCCCCTAAGGGTGTAAGGTTACCCCATTTGGAGCCCAAGAGATCAGAAACTTCCAACTGTAACCCCTAAACCCTAAACCTATAGCCCCTCCCAGTATAGGCCCCTCCAGCAAGGCCTCCACGACAGCTGCAGGCTGCTTTGCAGGGCCTCTACTTTGGATGCCCAGGACAGTTACAGTATGGTGCCCCTTAACTAGATAAAGATGAGGTTCATGGGGATCATATTCTGGTTTTGGGGAATCCGCATTCTACCCTTTTTAAGGGGGACGACCATATAAACCCCGTCCAGAGAACAAGAACATAACGTCTCGCATACTGAACTTTGAACCTCTACAACGAGAATAACTCTGGTTTAAGACGAGGGGACACTCCCAACAGGCAGCGGGCTCCCAAATCATGATTCCTTCTCCTAGGCGCTGAATCCTACACCCGAAAGTAGGGGAGGAGCAGTGAAGCTGATTATGAAGTTTAGCTACCTGGCGTCCCCAAATAGCCCAGAC